GACGAGTAAATTCTATGTTTCGATGAGTAAATTCTAAGATTTAAAGAGAAAATTCGAAGTTTGAAGAGTAAATTCCAAGATTTGAAGAGTAAATTCGATGTTTTGAAGAGTAAATTCTAAGTTTTGAAGAGTAAATTCTATGTTTCGAAGAGTAAATTCTAAGATTTGAAGAGAAAATTCTAAGTTTGAAGAGGAAATTCCAAGATTTGAAGAGTAAATTCGATATTAAGAAGAGTAAATTCTAAGATTTGAAATGTAGCGAATAACTAGGGGGTGTTCCCCAAATTTAACGCCCTCGTCTAATAAAAGTAAGTTAGAAAGGGCCGAACGAGCAGTGTTTATGGCACTGTAACCTATACCTAAATGGTACAGTGAAACAAGAAACTCAATGGCAATTTCCAAGCCTGGTTTAATTACATCAATTTGCCGTTCCTTGCAATAAATTAACCTGCCATTTATGTAAGTATGTTTTGTACTGTTTTGATGTACCCGGTTTCCACGAAGCCATAATTATCTCTTTTGCGTCAGCCGATAAATCGTATCGTTCTAGTTTCTCCCGGACAAGAGGCAGATTATAAGGTTCATTTTTTGCCAAATTGGATGTACTTCCTGTGGATGACTTGGTAGGTTGAGAAGACTTTTGCTGGCTTTGATGTAAACTGGCTCCTGTGTCATCATGTGAAACGCTTTTGCATAGCAGCTCTGGGTTGGCCAGTTCGGCAACACACATATTCCTTGACCTCTCTCTTTTTGGATCTTTGCCAGCATAGCTCCAATGACACTAAATGGTGGGAAGGCGTAAAATTTTAAGTTTGCCCATGATAAGGTGAATGCGTCTATTGCACAAGAATTTGGGTCTGGTCGGTATGCAACATATTTTGGGAATTGCTTGTTTATCCGAGTTGCAAATAAGTCGATCTCTGGGCTAAAGTTAAGCTTAATCAAGGTATCTGAAAGCAATGCCTTATTTAACATCCATTCAGATTCCCTTTGATGTCGCTTTGATTCATAATCCGCCACGAAATTTTGTTTTCCCGGGATGTGGGCTACGGTGAGCCATATGTTTTTATCTATATACCACTCCCAAATTTGCTTTGCCATAATATTGCAAATGTCAGAGTGACTTGTACCCATGTGATTTATAACATTAACCGCAGTGGTATTATCACACATTATTCCTATGTGTGTGTTATTCAGATTTTTTGCAAATGTCTTTAGGCCAAGAAAGATGGCTAACATTTCCAGGTAGTTAATGTGATTTGTAGCTTCAGACTTAGTCCACATTCCCCCTGTAGATATATCTTGGTACTCCGCCCCCCATCCCGAGAGCGAGACATCAGTAGTGATTTTGTGTTGTTGCTCCTCATGTGTCAATTTTTGAAAGGAGTTTTCCACATGATACTCCCACCAGTGCAATTCCGTTTTTGCACCCTGTGATAGTGCCATTGTCGCATCAAAATCCCCTTTTGCTTCTTTTAGGGCCTGGGTTTTATCTTTATCCAACTCCCTGTAGTACAAGGGTCCGTACATAACCCCCGGGAAGCTTGCCACTATTTTACCAATAATTCTCGCAACCTCTCGTATTGTTTGTGGTTTGGAGGCCGTCCTTAAAGCTTTACAAGCCTTTTTTAAATCAATAGCTTTATCGCTAGTCAACCGTATGGTCATGGACAATGAGTTGATAAGAAATCCCAGAGTGATAATTTGCTGCGAGGGTTTAAGAATTGATTTAATGGGGTGTATCACAAACCCTAAATTGTCAAGCAACATGAATGTATCAAGGACATTGACAACACATTTGTCATAAGTCTGACCTTGTAGGTAACAATCATCAATATGTGCCACAGAAATGTGGCCCATAGAGTGTAAAGTTGCTAATGCAGGTTTCAATATTTTTGTAAATACCCTAGGTGCACATGAAAGCCCATTGGGCAAACATGTAAACTGGTAAATTTCTTCTTTCCAGATGAAACGTAAATATTTTCGGTCTGATGCTTTGATGGGTATTGAGTAATATGCATCCTTTAAATCGAAATATGCCATAAAGCAGTCCTTTGTAACTAGTTTAGTTATATCATAAATAGAATCCATCTTAAAATGATGATATACTACTGTTTCGTTAAATTTTTTCAAATTTAGAATGAGACGGTGTGACCCATCAGGTTTTGGCCTCAAAAAAATGCTAGAAATAAATTGTGTTGTTTCAGGTTGTACTTTGTTTACTACCCCTTTACCAACTAACTTTGATATCTCTGCATCAAGTATTTGGTATTCATGTGGGTGAAACTTTTGACCTGGTAGGTTAAGTTGCACAGGTGTCTCAGTGCATTCAATTACAACACCTGTTATATTTGATAAAATTTCGCTGTCCTGAGTTATTTTAGTCCAGGCTGTAAAATGCTCAGCCACTCGACCAGCCTTAAAGCTAGTGCATAAATTCTGTAAATATGTCAGAATAACAGGTATATATTTTTCAAATTCACTTACCGAGTTTCGGATTTGTTTGAGAAGTTCTGTCACTTCTTCTCTCGTCCCCCCCCCCCCTCCAGCGTTTTTTCTTTTGATTGTTCTTACGCTGGCCCTGCGAAAAATCCTGCTTATTTTTCAAGGCAGGTTTTTTGTTTGCAGAGTAATTGTACTGCTCGGGGGGATAACTTTTCATAGAAGAACTGAGGGAACTAGCCTCTTTGGCATCCTTTAAATTTTTTGCCAAATTATTTCCAAACAGCAGTTTACTGTTTGGCTGGTCTTCCAATGAACATATTGCCGAGTATTCCTGTTTAAGGGCAGGCTTTATTTGTTCTTTCCTGACCAGAGACAAGTTAGTGTGGGTATGTGCTAAAATGGCTACAGTATCTACTAAGCTTGCCAACAACTGGGAGTTATCCCTGTTAGGAGTTTCCACTAACATATTTGTTGTTTGTAAAGCTGCAAATGTTGCTTTGAGAACTGATTGCTGTAAATTATACAGTTGAATATCTGTTCTCTTGCTCTTCGAACCCAACAACTGCCATATTTCCGGGTTGACTTTTTTGCATGTCATACCCGGACAGTTTTCAGGACGAGTATATTTCTCTAGTATACTCTTCAATTTTTCAGGATTGAGTTGTTTACCCCAACGTTTTAATGCTATATCAGCTAATTTTTGCGATATGTTTGGACCTATGGATTCATCATCCGATAGGCCTTTTGCAAGATCATTTAAGAGGTGTTCGGCTTCGGTGTCAGGTTCATTTTCCCGCTCTTTTTCAGAGCTTCCCAAAAGCTGTGCTAAGCCATCCTCGCTTTCGCCAGCATGAATGCTTATGTCATCAGGAGACTGTTCGCGACGTTGTCGCTTGCCTCTAGACCTGAAGGACGATGTTTCTGATTCGTCCCCGCCGGCAGCGTCGTCTTCACGCTCGGCTGCCGTTTGTTTCTTGCCCGTTGGGCGTTCGCCTTGTAAAGGCTTGTTAGCTTTTTCAGCTATTAATATTTCGAACAGGTCTGCCATTTTACCCATTGTGGTATCGATATTAGCGAGAGCTTCCTGAATATCAGGTTTAGGCGCCTCTGGCTGTATCCTTGACGCTTCAGTGATCGCCTGATCCGGTGCTTCGGTCGAAGCAAGGCCGTGCGATCCTTCTTGATCCATGAATGAAATGTAGTCTAAAGTCTGCAAATAAAGCGGCTAGATTAACAAATATGTGTGGAGAACAAACGTTTCGTGAAATATTCACCCCCCTGTTATGTAACCCACGAGGTGTTTTCGCGAACTTGCGCGTGACTTTTAAATTATACTTCTTTTGAATTCTGACAGGACAACTATTATGGGAGGTTTTTTCCCCCCAAATATACAAATAATATTTCCAATTTTTGGATTGGGACTATTCTACAATGAAGTACTCCTGGATAATGTAATCTAAATACATATGAAAACGAAGAAGTGGCATTTATCGGGCAAAGAAGCGGCGAGCCATTAAAATGGCGGCAATTTGAGGAAGTATCAAAGGACACAATATCGAAGATAAAATACACTGCACTGTTTCTAAAATGGATGAAACCTTCTTTGAAATCTCTTCAGCCATTTATGATTATGTAAGAGTACAATAACTGGATGATATTTGCGAGATTCGGCGATAAAAAGCAAACAAGACGGCAAAATATGGCTGAAATCGTGTTTTCGTGGGGGGTAAGTGAAATAAAATGTATTATATTTAAAGAAAACAATCACAATCCTTATGATATCAACAATATTTATATTAAATTAAGCATAGTTTTTCACCCCATGATAATTTTTTTTAGGAAATAAGAATATTTAATTTCTGCCAGGCATATTAGTTATTTTATGCATAATTAGCAATTTACCTGGGGTGGTGCATGGTCATTTTCTTGTAAAATATTTACTTAGACAAATTTTTTCTTCCATGCAATGACCACCCCTAAAAATAACCCTTCTAAACACTATAAGCACTTCAGAAAGACTATCGCTTTTTGTTTTCTGAAGTTAGAGCTATGTCGACACTGCCGTTTCAGGGCGGGGTCATTTACAGGACTTTCGTCCCGGATTCAGGTTTTGGCACATATGCCATGTTGACCGCCATGGTCATTTTACCCTAAAACAGTTGAGATTACCTGTGCTAAATGAAACGCATACAAACTCATATACAGGTCCTAGACTATTATGGCTTCGACAAGTTCGGCATACGATTCAGAAAGCAAAATTCACCCAATTCTGGGTGCTGGAGACGCAGATACAACGACGGAAGCGATTTTCATCAAACTATTTAGCTGCTGCAAATCAACGCGGATGAATTAACTGAAGAAATATCGACTTTAAGCACTCGACAAATTCTACAGCTAGTACTGCCAATTAAGGGAAAATCAAAACCCATGTTATATGACTTATCACGCATATGAGAAGGCATTGTCGATCATTCGAGAGGTAGGGAAAAGGAAAGAATATTTTCATCCATGCAGAGAAGATAAAGTCGTGCTTTTGATGCTGGTGAATATGCCCGAACGGTTGACTTTCCTATTACCAGCAGATATTCTAAAGTTATTATAAACACTGAAGAAACTGCATGCTTTAATACCAGTAAATATCTTAATACTGTATATACTGTATATAGACAATATACTGTAACCTAGATATGAATGTCTTAAATAGTAGGCCCTAAGGCTTATGTCCTATTGTCAATTACAAGTCCAGATATTGACCAATATACAGTGATTCAATGTCTACTAACATGTGATTTGTTACTTTTGATCATTCTGTCACATCAAAATAGAATGTTATTCCAATATTCCATGATATTTCATGCCATCCCACAGTTTCCAAGACCAAGTCTTATAATATATTAGACAAAGGAGATATCAAAGGAAATATCATACAGAGGAAATATCAAATTTTGATATTTCCTCTGTATAGTACAATATTGACCTAAGGGTATTAAACTTAGTTCCTATTTCTCTCCAAATGCTTTGTAGACCAACTGTTGGATGCCAGAAGATGTTGTATTCTGCTAGTAATTATCAGTGAAATCAGAAGAGTTTGGACCACCCAGCTTATGTTGCTGGGGAGGGGCTGTCAGCCCTGTGGGTACCAAATTCATGACTTAATGATATTGCTAGAATTGCTGAATCGTGCTTTAGAAAGCACACAAGAATTAAGGCAAACCTACTTCTTTACATGTTGATAAAGTTATTAAGAATGTCCAAGCTCCTCCATTAGCAAAAAGTTTGTGGAATGACATTATTGAGCAATCTAATAGCATTGCAGTATCAAAAGAATGCCAGTCCTTATGTTTTGAGAACATTGTTAAACTGTATGGCTGTTCAAAGTTTCAAATTTTGCCATTTGTCGTGTTCCAGCCCGATTTCTGGTTCTGAAAGGCCCGATTCTCAGCCAAAGAGTGCACGCCAAGCAGGCTGGTCATTTCATTGTTTAACTGCCCCACACTCAAATAACAACAAAGACTCACAGATATTGCTTTGCAACATCTGTAAGTCACAAATTATGCAATCTGAACAACATTTTTCACAAAGGCAAACGCACTTTGCCACCGGAAAAAGGGCACTTTTTGCATCTTCTGAAAACTTGGGGGGCATTGGCCCCCCAGTTTCTATGCCCCTGGTTGACAGCCAATTTAAGATGTGAATAGTGTACTTATTCACTGCGTCAGTGTGCTCTGATTCTAGCCGTTGTTGTCTCTCAAACCACGATAACTCAAAGTTGAGCCTGCCAATGTCCTGTATATTTGAGGTGAAACATTTTGAGGGGAAAAATTTTGTGTAATAGTGATTTACTGTATATATTAGTATAAACTTTCACAAATTATTCAACTAAGGTAATATATTGTTCTAGTCTTATTGTTCACCTATTCATTTATAATCTGTTTTAATAATTTATTTTATAACATATGTACAAATTATTGCATATTACTCTTTTGAAGCAGTGCTGTCATTAAGTTTACAAGTAGGTGGCCGAAAAATGATTGAACATTGAAGGCACAAGACTCCTAGAGGGGTCTGGGTGCATGCCCCCAACCCAAAATCTAAACAATCGGAAATGCCATTCCCTGCATTTTGGAAGGTATTTTACAGAGTTCTTAAGATTACAAAACATCCTATCAAAGCCTGACCTGTTTGAAATCATTTAATCTTTTGTTTTAATTTTGATGTTCTGACTAGAGGAAGTAAAAGGTTTGTTTATTGCTTCACAGTTTTGTTTATATGAACTTTGTTCAGACAAAAGTAGGCAAGCTACAGGCCCTTAATGACAGCTCTGTGTACAAAAACCTCACAAAAGTTCTCACTAGATTACTTCTTCTGTTTTATGTTACACGGCAAGGCCCTTTCTAATCCACCATACCATTTACTCCTCTGACCAGTGTGATGACCAGCAACGTTACCTGGCTCCAATTGTCGATATAGAGAGGTATGCTTTTCTGGCCGGTAAATTAAAGGTAGGAATACCACCAGCTACAAGCCTTTTGCAGGTGGGAACTAAAGCAGAACATAAAATACCTGATTATATATACTGTAAGTTGACTTAATTTATACTAGTATTGTTAAGATAGTAATTATAATGACTAAAATTCACAGCAAACAAGATTTATAATAATAACTGTAAATAGGGCTTTCATATACTATGACATGCCCAAACAAAAATCCTATTACTTTATTATGCCACTTTCTTGCTATTAAAACAGCCTTTGAATATTAATACTTTAGTTACTGTATACGAAAATGTTTCTACTGTCCTCAGTGACAGTGTCCTGAATTTATGTCTACCTTCATTTTATGAACACAAGGATTAACTGTTATATAAATATGACCTAATGACCGAAACGCACTTTTATGCAAATCATTAACATTTATATTTTTCCTGCTCCATGACCATATGGTTAATACAAATTTGATCATTTGACACATGAAATAAATACAGTACTTCTGCTAAGTTGTAACTTTCAAGCGTTCATACCGAAATATCGATACCTCTACCAGAGAAAGAAAATAACTTACATGTTTCAGCTGGGTCTTTTCAAAGTGTCTTTCACAAACGTGAAGTGTTTGTTGAGCGATTTGATTTCTTAAACTTGCATCTATCTCTCGATCCAGCGTCCTTTGTGACAAGCCTCGCCAACGCTTCGCGAATATTTCGTCGATAAATCGTCGTCTTTTGTTGGAATTCAAAAAATACTGACACCAAAGTGTTTTCTACTAGTCCCGCAACCATATATGTAGCAATTTGCACCTGGTATTTGGATATTCTTTCTGTAAAAGACGTTTTCCAAGTACTACAGCCTCCTGTAGCTGTAATACAATTTCCTATTACTAAATAGATTTTGATGCACCCGTATTGTCACGTGACAGAGAACAATAACATAATTTGGCCACGCCCCCAGCTTCCAAACCCTCTCCTCTATTGGTGATCGCCAAATAGTATATTTCAAAATAAGGTTTCCGTTTTTATAACGTAGAAAAAACTATCCTAACGCAAAACTAAACCCTAACCCTAATACTAACCCTAACCCTAACCTAAACCCTAAGCTAATCCTAACTTATTTTAATTATTTTAAAAATTGATATAAAAACGGAAACCTTATTTTGAAGTATACTATCTAGCAATTGCCCTCCTTCTATTAACTATGATCTACTGTACCACATTATATAGACTATATACATAGATTTATCACACTAAGAAACCAAAACTTGATAAAAATGTCGAACTGATAGTGGCCAAAGTCCAAAACAAATGTAAGCGTAAGTTGCGTAACATATTAGACTTGAAAAAGCTTTAGAAATTCGATAAAAATTCGAAGACTCGAGCGAGTTTAAAATTTGTGTTCTGCGCATAGAAAGCGCGCACGACCACAATTCCATGCGCTTAATAAAATTTAGTTCAAAACCCCCTCTCTGCATATATTAGGTTGCTGCTACGCTCGCTCGCTTCAGGCTCGCTCGCTCCGCAGCAATAACATAATATTGACCTGTTTTATGTTATATTACTTGACGTAGTCTATGTGAGTCTATTTTAGCCTAATGGGGCCTCAGTAATAGACCTTATGCATAATGACGTCAAAAAGGTTTGATGTCCTCGAGGAATGCTGGTCTTAATAGTCATCGCCCGGGAAAAGTTCGATAGTGGCG